TTTTACATTTTAGTCCCCAGATCTATTTGTTTTGTTTATTTCATTTTCGACACTTCAATTTCGTTATTTTTAATTTGGTCACTAATATGCTATATTTTCTGTTTTTATTTATTTCTGATTTGGGCATTTTACTTTCCTTTTCTTTTACTTTTGTCACTGACTTATTAATACTCTAACATTTATTTATTTTATTCGAACTAACTTACTAACTTTTATTTATTCACTTTATTATTGTACTAATTTTTCATTTTTACTATTGTTACTAACATTTATTTTACTGTACAAATTAACCCCTAACTTTTAAATTTATGCAATTTATTTTGTTTATTTATTTACTTTTCGGCATCTTAATTTCAGTAGTTTATTTTTTTTTTGCCATTTAACTTTCCAACATTTTATTTCAGTACTCTTTTATTTCCAGCACCTAGTTTTCAGTATTCGCATTTAGGTACCTTAACTTATTACTTCATTTTACTTTAGTCATCGATGTTGCTTGTGGTATAGTTCTATTTATGATTCGACCTCATTTATTTACCCTCTTATTTGTGTAGTATTTATAATCTTGATGGTCGATTTATATGAATTCCTTTAAAAAGAATTGTATTACCAATCAATCGAATTCAAATTATGTCGTTGATTTTTTTTAACAAATGTCGTAGGAAGTTTTATTTAGGGTATTATGTTTTTATATAATTTATATATAATTTAATATAACTAGATATAATAGTAAAATGATAAGTATATAAACTATTAAGATATTATAAAATAAATATATTAATACATTTTTATATAATCAGATATAATTTATATAATTTTTATGGAATAAATTATATATAATTCAATATAATAAATGATATTAATCCTAGGCAAAATAAGTGATATATTTGGATTGCATATTCGGATATACGATATGAAATTTTGGATATTTAAAAAATTGGATATCCGATTTTTTCGGATTGGATTCGGGATATCTGAAATTTCAGATCGGATCGAATCTGATATCCGATTCTGTACACCCCTACTAAACTTGACCCGACTAAAGTCGAACCATCGAATTGACCTAACATAATCCATACCCGATTTGATCTGATCTGAAACCTAAACAGTTACCTAATTTTACATCCTTGATATACCTTATAAAAGCATATGAAATAAAATATAAAGTCATAATTTTATGATTTAAATCTTTACCTTTACCCATATTTTCAGTGTTCCAAAATTTTCAAAAGTCTATTTCCCCCCTCCCCCAAAAAAAATTACTATAATCCATTTCCATGGTTACTTTATTGTCATCTTGCAAGTATTTTGAGTCTATCTAAAAATTGCTTGTTGTAATGGAAGTTCCACTTCATTCTATTATGTCTATAAATAATTGCTTTGCGTCCCTGAATAATTTATTCTCTGCAACTAAAATTAATTGTCTATTATGTCTATAAATGAAAACTTTTAACATTTGATTAATGCATTCTATTATTACTTCTTAAAATTTCTTTGTCTTCGAAGGATTTTAAGTGAATGGGACTTCCACGTTGTCTCATTGTCATCGTGTTTATTTTTATTTATTTTTTTCCATTAATTACAATAGGTATATATATATAATTGTAATTCATTATCAAACAATAACTTAGCCCTGTGGGTGAAGCATGCTCAACTCTTTGCTTAATCTTAGGATCGATTAAAACTAAAATTGAAAAGCTTTTAGCGATTTAAGCACTATTAGTTCTATGTTCAAGTTTGAAAATAGATTGGCATATGTCAATAATTTTTTAAGAAAAAAATATAAGGTGATTATATGATAGCATCTGTTCATAATCTTTCTTAGCTATTGACAATGCGCACATATCCTATAGATACAATTACTCGAACCCATAACCTCAAGGGAAACAATAATGCCTTTCGAGTGACAGACAACACTGTTATAGAGGTAGAAAATTTCAGAGTTAAACACATTAGAATCATCAGCGACCTTACAATTGTAGGTTCAGTAACATAAAACCAGCTAAACCAGAAACTGCTATGGCACACACGTTTGCAGAGTACTTTTTTAAACAACTTAAGCAGAGAAGCAGACATTAAAAAGTTCATTCTACCTTACCGTCAACAGTAATGCTGTTATCAAGCTGAGAGAATTCTTGGAAGAAGGCCTTGAAAAGTTCATAAGAATGCTTCACATCATCAACAGCACACATTTCCCGTATGCTATGCATCGATAACTGGGGAGCACCCACATCTACTGTACGGATTGACACAACACTTGCCGGACCGGACCGATGGTTGAACCACATGGCATATCGTTCCGCACCACAAAATCTTGTATGTACAGAATTTTCTGAAATAATTAGTTCATCCCTTACACCATTTCTAATAAAAGCATTTCCTTTCAGGACCATTTTCTAGCAAAGTTTGGGACATGATCCTCTAAGGACCCTCAAATATGAAAATATTGGAAAATTTTGAACATACACGAGCTGGACACTGACAAATGAGAGTTCAAGTAACATATATTTTGACCACTGAATTTCTGTTCTTATTTTCAGCAAAAGTTAGTCCGTTTATTTAAAGAAATATGAGGCTTAATACTGACTACTTATACTGCCGATTCCAGGAATTGTTGGCCATGCGGAATCGATGGAACAAATCAACAAATTAATTTGTTCACTGTCAGGCTCGAGGATTCAATCCGAATATATGTCGAGATGCGGAAGCTAGAGGATTTGGTTCAAGCTATGAATCTTCCGCTAACCTTTGAGACAAAATATCAGATGACCTAAACCATCGAACAACAAAGTACTACCTGGCATAATCGAGGATCTGTCTCGAAAGTAGCAAATCCACCAATTATCAAAACACTGAAGCGAGCAGATATGGCTGAACGAAGGTCTAAGGGTCTTCGTTATAATTGGGACGAACACTGTTTGGCGGGACATCAATGCAAAGGATTATTCTGGTTCGAGGTAGCAGATGAAGATGACTTGGGGACGGATGGATTGATTGAATTTTACAATCTTGAGCTTATAGACAAGCTCTTTCTTTTTTCCAGGAGGGAGTAAAGTTAGCATTAGTTATTTTTAGGAAAATAATATTATTTTAGGAGAGTAATAATATTATTATTTAAGTAGATATAGTTTTATTAGGAGATATTGTGATTTTAATTTTTTGCGTTCGTAGAAGTATTTCCATACTAGGAGACTTATTTCCTTATCTTTCCAATGAGTATTTTATTCCATGCAACCTTTGTATAAGAGGCCTTTTGAATTGATACTCAATAAAATAAAGATGTATTATAAACCTAAAATTGAGATCAGATTATTCTCTCCCGAACAAGTCTCGAGGTGGATTCTCCCTTTGACGAGAATCATAGCTAGAATGCGAAACAAGCAAACAACTGCTCAACACAGTCCTATTCTAACAAGGTCCTATACTTGGGACCATAACAACTATACATTTGATAATGTTTTATTTCTCATTGAATCTCGTACATCAAAGAGTTCATAGCAACTCTATGGTCAAGGATAGAACTGACCTGAATGGGAAGGTTATGCTTCATGGCTATTTCCCTGAATATGAAAGAAGTGACTGCATTGGTTGCGTAACGTTGGTTCGCATTATGTTTGATAACAAGTCCCCCATGCAATTTAGGTTGATGGTTCTCCTCATGTTTGTCCTGAACATAACACCATATGACTGCAAAGCAACAAAATAAAATTATCTCACAAATGCCAGTTATGATTTGTCTGCAGCAACATCCATATAATTTGGGTGAAGGGCATGCGCCATGTCAGCAGAAACAAGGAAACTTCTCTGGATTGCTTTTGTTAGCATCTGAAAAAGAAATAATGCAACAAAATGTCAAAAAGATGATTTTGATGAAAGAACGATTATGATAGGTTTGCAGATACTATGTCAATCACAGAAAAGAATTGGAAAATGATATACAACATAGAAATTGAATCTTTATAAAATAGCATCATGTTCATTAGTGTAAAGGGGAAAAAAGGTAATATGAAATGTAAGTGCTTCTGAGTTTCAATTTTCTACTTTTCTAAGAGAAAAGTTATGCAGATGCCATGCTTATAGGTAATGAAGAAAATCTTTTAGACTATAAAAACAATGAACAAAACAGAATGCAATTTATTCCAGTCTATACTACAAACTTTCACTTTATCTTCACTGACTAATAGTCAGACAAGCTATTTGAATAGAAGAAGATATGGAAAATAGCAGAGAGGTGGTACACACCTTAGAATCGGAGGTGAAGGAGTTCGTTATCCGTGATACAGCATCTAAAATCGCAGGAGATCCAGCTCCTTGTGCTGAATTAGATCCAACCTTCTCATCATCAAACAATGCAACCATTCTAACACCACTCTTATTTTCAAGGTCACTCTCGGAGGATGTAGCATCAATCAATCCCTGGAATGAAATAACATTATGATGAAGGGATGAAGCAAACCATTATTAGGTTCAACATTACAAGATTTCAAATATTCCCCCATTTGAATATAAGAATGAATAACACAAACCACATCTACATATTACGGAGTTAAGAAACTCAAACGTAAACCTATAATTTTGCTAACTGGGAGCAAAAGACCTACTAATACCTTCAGAGAGCAAAAGGACACGCAAAGGTTGTCAAGCCTTCCAGAAAAGATAAATTCCTTTGCAGCACCGGCTACTATACTTGGTTGAGTATCACATGCTTGCAATTCAAAATCACATATTTAATCTGGTTGACAGCCGAGTTTATTTGCAATCATCTAAATAAAAGAAAAGAAATTACTTTGTTCTAAATGTTCCACAATGTAGCTTACTCCACTTGACAAAGCTCGAGCTTAAAAACTATCAAACCTGCAGCAGAAGTGCATGATGTCGTGATTTGTTCAATGTCTTGTCAGCCTGACCATTTTCAGAAATCTCTTTATTGAGCTCTGCCCGTGAAAAGAAGTTCAACAGATCTTAAAGAGAAGCGAAGTAAAACAAACATTAATCCCCTTCAGACAGACATAAAGAAACTTATGTTCTATTGAGTCGTTATTAAAATAAGTATCATTTAAACAAGCTTAATTTATTCCTTTCTTAACAATTAAACACATTCTATAATTGGAAAAAAGCAAGCATGAATTGTCCTAGCTGAAGAACCAACTTGTTCAAATTGAACAATTTGTTTCGTGTTTTCAGTATTTCATTAAAAACTGCCATTCCCCGTTTGGTTTTGGTTTTTATAACATATATTCATACGGAATTCTATATTATAAGTTTCTAATCATGAAGCAGCATATAGCAGAGAAGCAACTATCAGAAAACCAATGCAGACACTAATCAGCCTTTATCCATTTCACTGGAATAAAGTTCTATACTGTTATGGAGTGGTTGACACAAGTTCACAATATAAATGAACTTAGGATACGGAAATGATAAATGGCACAAATACAATCTGAAAAATAGCATGCAATAAAGTATGGATAAAAATTTACCTTAATTGATGTTGCCAGGACAGGTAAAAGATGACTCTGTGTGTTGACCACAAATAGGAAAATAGATTACTGTTTCCACAATGCTAACAGAAAAAATAGTAAGAAGCCAAAATCCTCGAAGAGCAAAGTGAGTTAAATCCAACACAAGCAATTATCTACGCCAATCACAAGCATAAAGCACTCTGAGAATTCATCTAGGAAGCCCACCTGTCTAATTGGAAAGCCAGGGTACGGATCCGCATTATAGGTTCTTCAATTCTAACTAGCCGATGTGAATATGAAACAGAACCACCTTTCTCCTCTCTAATCATCACCCTTCCTGCAACAGTCAAGTCACGATCGAACCACGTATGCCACAAGCCACCTCCATAAGTTTGCACACCAACCTCCAGATGACTGGGTTTTTTTACCTGATCAATCCCACAGTCATTTTCTCTTTTTTGCTTTCTTTCAATAATACTGTCATTTACGTTTAAGTTTAGTGATAGAAAACGCAATAACATCGGAAACAGGCTTCAATTTTAGACAAGGGCCATAAGTATGTGCAAAATATTAGTGGATAAACAACTAAAACATCATCTGATCACAATGGAACATAAACTTTAAATCTTTTTTACACAGTAATTAACAACCAAATAGCCAAAAAAAAGTGTAAATTATTCACAAATTTACTGCCACATTTTTTGACAATCATATTAAACAACAAAAGTAAAGAAATTTCTAAAGGAAAAAAACATACTTTTTACCAACAGCAAAAGCAACAATGGTGGAATGATTCCTGGTGAAAAAGTATCTTTTCCCAGCTTCTAATTTCCAATCTTCTCTCTCTAACACTTGTTCGTACCCAATCTTTTGCAAACGTTTCTTTGCTTCGTCTGGGATTAAAACAAAAACCCAACAAAAAGGTTGAATAAAATCCAATAAGAAATGAATATACGTGGATTTTGATAGTAAATTACTTCGATTAAAGGGCTTGAATAAGTTGACTTCCCACCAACAGAAAAGCGAGAAGAAAAAGATTACCGACGGCGTGGAAGGCAGTGAGCGAAACGTTTAAGAAGCCGATGAAACCAGACACAACGGACCTCACTTCAGTTTCCAACATGCCTCTTCGTTCCTTCGATTCGATCTTAAACTTAGCTTAGGCCTTTGTTTATAGTTACTTAAAAAATTTCAGCATTCCCAGTTTATAAAATATATGAATAGGTTGGGGTGGTACGTGTAATGCTCCTAAAGGATCCCTTGTCAAGTGGGAAACGTGTTGTCACGGTGGACTGGGTCTTCGTCCTTTTCGCCCGTAAAATGATACCTTTCTGATCAAGATGGGATTCAATTTTGTCATGAAACCTGATACTCTTTAGGTGAAATCATGCGATCCAAGTATAAAATAACGGAGGTAGTGCCCACTTCAATTGATGGCAAAAATGGGTCTTTCGTCGGGAAATCTCTTGTTCGCGTTTAGCCAAGTATCCGCGACAACACCTGTTGGTCTCATGGGGATGGGAGACAAGTTAGATTCTGGCTTGATTCTTGGATTCCATGTATGGGACCTTTGGCCGAACATGTCAATATCGACTGTGCCCCCAGTCCTTTTGCCACTGCCCGTGACTTGGTGACTAGTAATGGGGAATGGAATGTGACTCAGTGTTCCCGCACCGTGTGACACCATAGGGGAGGACTACCCCACGTGCCGATGGAACCAATCCGGAACATGTTTGGTTAAAACGGCGTTCCATCAGCTTTAACACGATAAATGGGAGGATCATAACAACATGTGGAATCTGGCCTGGACCTTTGATGGCCCACAGAGAATCCGCCAATTTATATGGCTTATCCCCCGTAATCGGGTTATGACTAACGTCGAATGTCATAGACAGGGTACGACTCCCGATCCTCGCTGTCTGGTTTGTGGCTTGGATACTGAGTTCATAACCCACATCCTCAGTGATTGCCCCCAAGCTCGATTTATCTAGGAAACCTCATACATACATCACAAGGCTCGCATTAAAGGAAAAAGTAATAACTCTTCCAAATGATCCACTCGTCCAAGACTTGGAAAAGAAGACCAGAACAACAGCAGACTTACGATGACTTTTTGAATGAGATCATAATCTTATTTGGTCAACATGTATTCTGAAGATACAACCGTCTGTCTCCTATCTTTTCAACAGTTCTTGAATCGCATCAATCCGATATCGGGAACTCAAGATACGTTCATTTTAGTGAAGACAACACATGCAGAAATTCTTATACAAGATTAATATGTGATTTTGTAAATATTACGAATTTTTAATATTTATATTGATTATTTGTAATATAATTTAATATAGGATGATGCATTATCTTTTAGGATTATATTTATTATTTTATTAGGAATTAAGGATGAGTTAAAACATTATTTTTAGTTATTATTATTTTATTAGGAATCAGAGTTAAGACATGTTTAGTTTGTTATTATTTTATTCATTAGTTGTTTAGGACATTTAGAACTCAGCCCCTATATAAAGGAGGCTTCATTCAACTTTGTAAATTCAAAATTATTTGATTAATAATACAACGAGAGTTTGTTTTTGCTCGTGTTGATTGCCTTGTACCTTCGAAGCTTATTCTCCTGGAGTTCTTTCAAGTTCTTATGAGGGAGATTAATCTTCACACTCCAATTTGTCTTTCCATCGCGACTAGGAGGGTTGGTTAGAGCCATATTATCGTGTTTTCCTTTTCATTGCGACCAGGAGGGCTTGATAGGACACTTATCCATCTATTTTCCACAAATCCATCCTCACCATCATCATCTTTACCGTTCGCCTTCATAAGGGAGATGTTTTGTTTTCTTGGTTATCATACTTTATTTTCAATTTCTTTATCTTTTGTTTATCTTGTTCTAATATTATTTCTTACCTTGTTTCCAGCACCTAAAAGAAACCCTAAGAATCCTACTTGCTGCCACCACCTTCCCCTATTCATTCCTCATTGTTCTTCATCGAGTCTAGAGCTTTCTAGATTTGATTCTTCAACAAGAAAAACATTCATTAACCCGCCATCGCTTCCCTATCAATTGGTATTAGATTTGGGCCGATTCTTAGAAAGATGCAAGCAATCTTGCTTGTTCTTGCACACAAAACCGTCAAGGTATCCCAACGGAGCTATTTCACAAAAGATTCATCGTTTCAGGTTTCTTTTATTTAAATTTAATTTAGATTAAAATCATTCTTGTTAATTTACTTTTTTTCAGAAAAAAGGTAGAAAAAAGGGCCGAAAACAATTTTCCAAAAAATTGAAAATGAAGGAATTTAGGGATTGTTTTCTTCATATATCATATTCATCAAAGATTAATCTCTAGTCCAAAATTCACCCCCAATCGGAGTTCATTAGAGCCTTCAAATACATCATTCAAGTTTCATCGGAAAAATCGATCTAGAATATTGTCGAATTTCTTGAAATTTCTACAGGAAGAATTTCATGGTGAAAATTTCCAAATTGAAACTTTATATATTGAAGATTATTACACAAAAATCAAAATTTTTGGAGATCAAGAACACCTTCGAACAAAGCGATCACGAAAAATAGATTGTTTGAGGATTCACCATTCGACAAGTCTACTGGATACTACTGAACGTATTTGGTTATGAAATTTTACAGGTGATTTCTTGAAGCATCGAGAGACATTAAAAAAATTTCCAAAATTTTTGGACACCAGTAACCTCCTCAAAAATGTTGCTCAAGTTGATCCAGTGTTTTCTAGGTTTCTGGTTTGGTTCCTTTTTTCTTTGACTCTTAGTGCTTTAGGTTCTTTTATTTTTTCTTTTATAGTTCTTTTGCATTATCTAACACATTATCTTCCTTGTGTTGGTAGGACTAAATAGTTTGCATACTTCTTCCTTCTTTGAATTCTCTTTCTCTTAGAGTCTAACGTTTGTTTGACCTCTTAGAGCTTTTAAGTTTTTCTTATCGCCTTTGCTAGTAATCAAACTCGGATACGAACTGTGGAAGACTACTTGGTAAAGTGAGTTTTAAAGAGTACACGATCGGCTTACTTGCCTCTCATTGTGTTACTTTCTTGGAGTGACGTGTGAGATTTCTTGCTTTGTTGAATTTTCTTTCTTTTATTTTTTATTTTACTTTAAAATTTTATTTTGAGTGTTATGATTTCAGTATGGGTGACAATAACAACAAGACACTTACGCCTATCTTAGCCACACTTGCCTAACTCACGACTCAAGTTGAAAGATTTGATGAAACCGTGAGAGAATGATAAGAACCACAACTGGATCTACCAAACCAGAATCCAAGACCAAACAATGCTGAACTTTTGGTACCCAGGCGAGAACAACCATGTTTCCAAGCACCCGAACTCTTTGCAAAACCAAAGTTCACGATCCCATCTTTCAAAGGAGACAACGATCCGGACAGGTACATCAATTGGGAAGGAAAAGTTGATCTCATTTTCTCATACCATGACTGCCCCCAAGCTAAACAAGTTCCCCTCATCACCATGCAATTCGAAGGATATGCTCGAACTTGGTGGATGCAAACAAGGAAAAAGGTCCAGAACTTCCAGATTCCAACAATCACTTCTTGGACCGACCTCAAACAAACCATGAGGAAATGATTTCTACCGACACATTATACACAAGAAGTTAAACTACGACTACACCGACTTCGACAAGGTAGAAGTTCAGTTGAAGACTACTACAAGGAGATGCAGTCCTGACTCAATAGGGTTAACATAACTGAAAAATAAGAGGTCACCGTGTCAAGATTCATCGTCGGCTTAAACTTAAACATCATTAATCTTCTTGACCTTCATGGGTACGAAAACCTTGAAGATACACTAAATAATGCAATGACAATCGAAGCACAAATCCAAAGGAGATTCCGATTCAGAGAACATTACCAAGGTACTTCATCCTCTTACCAAGGTAATCCTTCAAATTCTTCCTCATCTTCTACTCCATCTTCTCAAAAAAAAGCCAAGAGATGACAAACCTGACAAGGAGAAAAAATGACCAGCAAAGAATGACACACTTCCAGCCCCTAAAGATCAAATGATAATTTGTGAGGAGGTAGGGAAAACAAAAAAAGAAAAACTGAGAAAGATGCAAAAACAAAAGAGGTCATTAGTTACAAAAGCCAAAAGAATAATGACCCATGGGAGGTGAGTGAACCTAATTGTGAGAAAAAAAGAATGACTCCAAATCAATGTGCGAGCACAAAAGAATTGAGAGAGAACCTTCTTTTACAAACAACCTTGCATCATCCTTATTCACTTTAGGGAATCAATTGTTTCGATTTCTAACATTAACAAGGATTTGCCTAGTGTGTTTTCATCTATTTTACAGGATTTTCGAGAAGTGTTAGGTGATCTACCTAACGAAATACCACTGAAAAGAGGAAAACAACACCAAACCAATCTAATTCAAGGTTTCATCATATCTCGTCAAACATACAATCTTGAAAAAACCAAAGAGTTAGATTTGTTACAAAAATACTAAATTCATGAAAGTCTTAGTCGTGATGCCATCTTAATGATGAAACATGACTTAAACAACTCAACATGCTTTATAGTTCGTGCATAGGGAATCCATGTAAATGATGAGAAAGTAAAAGAAACACGAGACTGGCCCACACCATCTTTTATCGCCAAGACTTGTCGAATAATGCTAGGTGACCCTCTTGACAGGTTACCACCTGAAACCCCTAATCATTATGTCATATCAATGAAGAGTCACGATTTACAAGAGTCCAAAGGTAAGTAGTTTATTACTCATTTTAATGATATTGTAATGTACTTCTTCTCCTTTTTACAAGGTAAGACTCTTGAAGTTGTCATTCATACCAAACACAACTCCTTTAAGTGCGTAACAGACGAGGTAAGAAAAACATAGTAGACGATGCTTTACCACGAAGGTATACTCTTAAGCATACTACTATTATGAGAATTGAACATATCAAAGATGTATATCAATATAAATAGGATATTTCTTATATTTATGTCCATACTTTTAAAAGTGTTTTTAATTAACTTTATCTTGTATATGAGTTTCCTTGCCAACTAAACAGGTTCTATAGTCTACCAATCTCCTCCCGAGAATTCTTAATTCATGAACCACACTTAGGAGACTTAAGGGATTACTTTAACAAACCAGTTTACATGGTTTTTA